ATGTGCGATTTGGTTACTCACTTGAAATGTGGCAATTGATACGTTTCTTTCAAACTACACAATACCCCCTTCACATACACGGATTTTTCTTACGAATCCTTACGGCTCGTACATGTTCACGGATCTTTCACAGATCCTTACGATTTGGCCACTTTGACGATCGATTTAAGAGTTGTTACGAGTTATAACGAGCTATTTACGGTTTATTACGGATTATTCCGAGTTATTACGATGTAGGCCTATATATTTAAGGCAAAATTCCACGATTTGTTACGACTTATCACGGATAACTACGATCAACTAACGTGTTAGTTACGACCTCTTTACGTATTGTTACGAATAGTTACGAGTTAGTCCGAGTATTTACGAGTCTTTGCGATTTTTAGCCAAAAAATAAAAACTGAAAATGAAGTGTTCAAATTTGCAGCTTTTCCCAAAATCGTAAACAATTTGAAAGATTACGTAAAGTATACGTATATATTCGTAAAGTACTCGTAACTACACGTAAACTGCACTTAATAACTCTTAACTATCCGTAAAGTCATAGTAACACGACCCGAATGAAATCGTAAACAACACGTAAGCACTCGTAATAATCCGTACATAATCCGTAAACCAAACCTAACAAATCGTTAAAAACAATTGTTACGAGTCATTTACGGATTCTTGCAAGCAGTTTAGGGATGGTTACGTGTTGTTGCGAGCGGTTTACGATACTTACGGATCGTTACGAGCTATTTACGAGATATTTACGGAGAAATCAATCAAGAATTTTGACATGTCAAAATTTGCCTCTCCTTTCACGGATCCTTAAGAGTGTGACGAGTTATTTACGGACACCAGCGAGATATTTAAGGCCCGGTCACACAGAGGGGACGGATGGGGGACGCACGGCCAGCGCATTGGAAATTTGCAATTTTGGCCAGTGCGTTGTCGTTCGCTAGGCGTGCGTCATCATTCGTTACTCATTCGTCGAGCACGCTGGACCCCCCCCCCCCCCCACTCAGTTTTATGTAGGGTACGCATATACGTGTTCCAAGCGATCCCCCTTTTCAGCAGAAGTCCGGTGTGTAAAGTCAATACGGGTCGACCTTTTTCTTTTGTTATACGAGCCTTTTTCAGCACCCCCCCCCCTTTCAGCAAAAGTCCGGTGTGTAAATTCAATACGGGTCGACCTTTTTCTTTTGTTTATACGAGCCGGAGAGTTTTGGAACACGCATGGTATCCCTCCGTTCACGGAGTGGGAGGGCCGGGGCTGGACCCACGCTATGCATTCGTCGTCATTCGCTGTGTGCGTCGGAGCTCGACGCATGAATGTACACGCCAAGGGCACGCCAGACATACGTGGAGCGCGCTAGACTAGCGCCAGACATACGCGGAGCACACGCCCGCTATACGCACAGCGCGCTAGCTACACTCTGTGCATTTTGTGTCAGCTCGCTAGCTTTTTCAAAATCATGACTTTTGTTAGGCACACGGCCTTTTCCGATTTCCAATGAGTGGGCCGTGCGTCGTCCATGTGTGACCACCTCTGTTGAAAACGCGGTGCATGCGTGGACCGTTCGTCCAGCGCGCTATAGCAACGCGCTGTGCATTTATGGAAGTTGTTATCATGTTCGCTCTGTGTACGGTTTGTATGCGCTCAGCGCTAGCAACACGCTATGGCCCGAATTCACAAAGGAGGTTTGTCGACAAACCTTGGTTTTCGTACGTCATATGACGCGTTTTACGCGTTTTTTACAAACTTGGTTTGTAAAGAACAAAAGGAGGTTTTTTGGCGAAACAAAAGGAGGTTTGGCGAAACAAAAGGAGGTTTGAGCTCAAACCTTGGTCTGAGCTCAAACCTTGCTTTGTGAATTCGGGCCATATGTCAGCTCGCTGTAGCTTCGACAAAAGTTGGGCGCACGACAATGCACTGGCCCAAATTGCAAATTTCCAATGCGCTGGCCGTGCGTTCCCCATGCGTCCTCTCTGTGTGACCGGGCCTTTACGGATGTTTACGAATATTTCCTGAAAAATTGGACCAAAAAATAAAAAAAAAAATGTACCTCTTACCCCCCCCCCCCCCCCCCCCCCCCCCACCCGCTTATTCACCGGCTGGCTGAGTCGCAACTAAATATTTGTTTACGGATTGGGTCCCCCCCCCCTCTTGCCGCCGGCTGGATTCGCCACTGCCCCTGTATGTCCTAATATGTGAGTACCCCCCCCCCCTCCTCCCCCGGTGATCGATCTGCTAGGGCCTAATGCAATTGCTGAATGCTCCGATCAGCAGCGCACATACAATTTACATAAGTGTGACGAAAGCGATAAGTTGAGAGAATGGAGATATAAATAGCTGAATCGTCATTAACTCTTCATTGTATCCATATCTTTAATATTTTATTTAGTACTTTAGTGCCCACCCCCCCCCCCCCCCCTGGACAAAACAGCAAGAGAAAGATGCTGATGAACCTCTTTTTTTTAGCTCGTCAGACAATGTTATGATTAGTCCCCCCCCCCCCTCCTTTCGGTATATCCTGGATCCGCCCCCGCTCTCTTGTAACAATTTTTTTATACAACTCATGATACATTTTGACGTGTTTTGTTTTGTTTGTTTTGAAATAAATCAAACTTTATTTTTATTCTCTAATATTGTTTTTTGTGAAACTTTAACATGTTGAGGCGTGTTTTGTTTTGTTTGTTTTAAAAGAAATGAACTGTTCCTAATTTTTTATTCAAGTTCATTTATTTATTCAAAACCACACAAAACATGATATAATCTTTTACATGAAAAAGAGACTGGTAATAGTACATCATTAAGTGAATGGTTTTAGGACCCCTGTAGAAGCTAAGCTTGTGAGCGGGGCCCTATAGTCAACAAAATACATACATTAACGATATGGCAAGGTGAATAAAAAGAATGTAATGTTTATACAAGGGATGAAAACAAACTAAGCTACAGAATATAGAACACACACAAATATTCACACACACGCGCGCACCACCACACACACACACACACACACACACAGTCCTTAGTGGTCTATAAGCATTTGAAAATGAGAAATTATTAAGATGCAAAGTAGAATTATGTCAGTTTTCCAAGTAGGTACGTTTTAGATAACCTTCTAAACCTAGAAAGAGTTGTACTATATTTTATATCATCAGGCAAACTGTTCCATTCTTTGATGCAAGAGATATGGAAAGAGGTCAGAGTGATATTTGTTCTTGCAAAAGGCTGATGAATAAGACCCCTTTGACGTGTATTATAATTATGAATTTGTGAGTTTTTACGGAATAAATCTTTTAACGTACATTCATGAGGCATAAACTGAAGTTTATACATAAACAATACGCAATTGATTGACACAAGTCCACTTAGTGGTAACATTCTTAATCGAAGGAACAATGGAGAACTTGGATGTCTATAATTAGAATTAGTAATAAGCCTTATTGCCTTCTTCTGCAATACTCTTAACTTATCAAGATATGACTTAAAAGTGTTTCCCCAAGCAACATTACAATATGTCAAATAAGGAAGAATAATACTATTATATAATGTTATCAGCACTCTTTCAGGTAAAATAAATTTCAATCTAAAAATGACACCTACACTTCGAGACAACTTAGTGCATACAACATCTAAATGATTCTTCCAAGATAAATGTTCATCCATAGTTAACCCTAAGAACTGAACATTTTCACTAAGCGCAACATCATGGCCTCCAACATTAAGAAAAGTAATACCATCTGGAAGCTTTTTACCCTTTGAGCGAAAAATAACACATTTGGTCTTTTGAACATTCAATAATAACTTATTACAACAATACCATGCATACAGTTTCTGAATCTCTTGATTTGATTTGACATCAAGCTGCTATTGTGTTTACTTACAAAGCTTATTAATTATAATTGGGGACGTTTGTTTGCATGAAGTTTGTCATTCGAAGGGAAATACCCAGGATATATTCTGTAACAGTGTCCGGAGGGGAGGGGTGCCACACCCCCTTCAAGAAATTTGTATAAGGGGTACAATCATGATTTAGTACCAATGGATAGCTACAGGTTTCCTCTACATCTAGACCCAAATTTGCCCGAAAATTAGGAATTTCAATTATTGCCCGAAAATCACTGCTTTGAAAATATTAGGGGGAAGGGCTGTAGCCCCCAGCCCCTGGGTTTGCCTCCTTCTTCTCCTCCTATTCCTATGAAGAAACGGAGATTTTTGTTCTTCAATTTTTCTTTCTCAGTGAAGTACGTGAAGAAGTCTGAGAATATATTAAAGATATGGATACAATGAAGAGATATTGAACGTTCAGCTCTCCATTCTCTCAATTTATCGTTTTCGTCATAGTCATGTCAATGTTATGTCTTCCTATATTATGTATGTACGCTGCTGATCGAAGCATTATATCATGTTTGATTAATGTTTTCGTGAGATTGATGACAATCGCAAATTACATATTCAGAACGTAAGCAATTTCAAAAAGTAAACTAAGGATAGTCATCGAAAGTTCACGATGTGGTCACAATATTTCTAAAATCAGGATGAATAAACCAACAAAACAGAGAAAGAGAGAGGGAGAGAGAGAGAGAGAGAGAGAGAGAGAGAGAGAGAGAGAGAAAGAGAGAGAGGGGGGGGGGGGTTGAAGAAACAGTTACGTAATGAACATCATATATATATTGTATATGAGAAGCAACAGCCCAAACGAAAATAACGACATGACAATTGTATATGAAATATAGGCCTATAAATATGATACAAACATTTCACGACACATTTTTGGGACGAAACCATTGTAGAAAGTTAAAGTTTGGAAACGAAGCATTAAATTATCTGAAGTAGTCAAGTGTTGCGTAACTAAAGATGCATGTCGGCTGATATATACATGTACATGTAGATCTTTATGAGTGAAAACAATGTTATGACTATATCCTAGTTGCATTGTACGAATTACCACGTTCCAACTTGTCAACATATAAATAAGTGAGAGTAGTAACACAAATAATTATATTCTTACCTGTAGTACAAATCCAGCAAGTACAATGCTCCTGATTAGTGCGTAAACCCCCATCATGTTAGCGAACAGGTATGGTACCATTTGTTGAAGGTTATGATCGCAAGAGAGAGAGAGAGATTTGTGTTTCCACGCAGGGATGGTCCACTATAGCTACACTGCCGTGGAAGTATATCACATGATGTATGGACTCTGACTGTAATAAAAGATTTTTAACCTAGTACAATCAAAGTCACGATATCAATTCTGAGCCCATACAAGGTCTAGAGGCGTAGTAACATTGCCTCTTACTCTGTGCCAGGGGCGTCAATCCGTTTCATATTTTTGAGGGGACACTGAATTCTGAGTGTCCAAGTATAGAGCATAGCGAGCGAAGCGGACGGAGCATTATACGGCGTGGGGTCCAAGCAGGTACTAGTTTGCAGGCACAAACCCTGGTCAGTCGTAAAAGAGAGTCTGCACTATAAGACTACCATAGGCCATGTACTAGAGCTGTTGACACAACCCGTAGGTAGCTGGGCTAGGCTTCTCTCAAGGCACAATGATTTGTTGATAAAGTGTCAAATTAGGGTCTTTGCTTGCAGACTAGGTAGGTGCGGCGGAGCGTCTTTCAAAGTAGGGAGGGGGGCAACAAAAAGGGCACTTTCTGGAAAAAGGGCCACCAACAAAGGCTAATCTGAAAGCGAAAACATACAATTTGTAGACAGTATATACCCCTAAATTATGATTACATTATGAGGGATGATTTCAAAGTTTGTTTCTCTCTTTACATGGTCCAAAATACTGCTTAAGCATCATACTTGTGTAGGTGGTGTGATGGGGTTTATATATTTATTTGCGCGCGAAGCGAGCGAGCAAACAATTTTAGATTTGAGAGGTCGCAGTGCGAAAATTTAAAGTACAATCCTGATCGGGTTTTCAGAACAATCTAATCATGGACAACTGAAATTATCTTTTATATGAAATATATTTATACCGGTTTAAAAATGCGAGCGAGATTTGGGTGAAATTAAAGAAGAGGTTGCTATAAGTCGCTTATATTAGGACACATATCCAAGGGGAAAATGACACTTATTAGAAAAGAAAAAGAGTACATGTCAAAGTAAAAAGTGGAACTATCAAAGGTGAAAATGGGGTACTTCTAGCACCTTAAAGGGGACTTACTAGATGAAGAAAGGCACTTATGACAGGGGAAAAGGGCAATTTTAGAAGGAAAATGGCACTAAATAGAAATGATAACGGGTAGGTGTCTAAATATTATGGGCACTTATCATAAATGAAAATGGGCACTTATTACAAAGTTAAAGGGGGAACCTCTCATATTCAAATAAGGGCACTCATTGGAGATGAAAGGGGCACTTATAAGAATGAAAAGAGGGCATAACAAGGGAAAGAGGCTCTCGTCAAAATATAAGGGAAACCTCTCAGATTTGAAAAGAGGCAATTATAAGAGATGAAGGGGCACTTATCAGAGATGGTGAAAGGGGCACTTCTTGTACCTGAAAAGAGACACTTACCTGAGACGAATAGGGTCATATGTGAGAATGGAAAGGGGCAGTTACTACAAAGAATAATGGGCATATGTCGAAGAAAAAGGGGCACCAATTAAATTTTAATAAAGGCATCTATCAGAGGTGTCAGAAGGGGCATTTTTCAAAAGGGAAAAGGCTCTTATTGAAAAAGAACAAGGGTGCACGTGTACAAATAAAAGGGGACACTTATCACAGGTGAGAAGTGACATTCATCCAAGATGAAAAATGGCACTAATCAGAAGGGGAAGGGGCACTTATTACACGGGTTTACGGAACTCAAAATTGAGAATGGTAGATGGAGATAAAACGAAATATAGCTAGAGAGAGAGAGAGAGAGAGAGGGGGGGGAGAGGGAGGAGGGGCGGTAGAGCATGAACTATGATGGAGACAGGGGTATGATGACAATGATTTTTATAGAGGCGGTTCAGAGGTTGTCGAACATTTTCCTTGTTAGTATATCACAACTTAAAAATAGCATCTGGTTTATTATTATGGCTCTCGATTTGTTTGTTAGTCATATATTTTCATTATCATAAGGAAATCAGCCTTTTGTTTAAACAAGAAAACTGCTCATACCTGATCCGATTAGGTGTTCACGGTGAAAATACCCACCGTCTATTGATTGTGCAATACAATCATAAGTTTGTACTTTGAAACATAATGTATTGTAACAAGTTTTTGGACAAATATATCTATAAAGCAATTCAAACAGAACGACTTCATGCTCTAGCTTGTCACCAAGTTAACAACTTCTACAACAATCGTATAGTATGTACACAAACATTATATTTTACCTACTCACAAACTCTTGAGAAAAAAATCAATGTGACAAAAAGATGCCATTAATATTTATAGTGTTTTATATGCATACATATAAAAACCATCAATGGTAAAATCAACAAAATATCGGGAAACAGTCTAGATTTGTTGTATTGGTTTGTTTTGTAAATTTTGATTGTAAATGAAATCTAATATTAGTTGAAATCGCCAGTCGATCGGTGATGATTTATGATTTAGCTTTTTCATCGGTCAGGTGATTTGATAGCTGGGATTCTTGTATTTCTCTATGATCCATACATTTTGTAATTAGGAATAAAATGATGTGTAGCCCACGTATCAGAATATAAGACAGACTTGGAGAGACTGTTGTGACGGCTTACTGCGAACCATCGCAACCACCCAACCCGGCGCGATGACCCGACGTTTTGTAAAAACTTGTCGGGGGTAATTTTTGTGAAATAAACTCTCTCATCTAAAAATGTAATTAAGTCTAATACAGCTGATTTGAAATCCCGCAAAAACACAATTTGTACAAGATAGTGGCAATGCCTCTGACAGATTCATCACCTATTGTCTGATGGGTTTGCATATCAAAACGTGTGGAGCTAAATGGACCCTATTGGAATTGAAGAAAATGCATCTGTCATGCTCTGTGCACACACGAGATTACATATCCTCTATCTCTGTGCAGCCGTAGCGTTACACCACAGTGCTTTGTTGTTTTCAAACTAAATCATCGCACCAAAAACTGTTACTCGGCAACGATGTGATGGTATAGTATTAATGACTGCTTTGAGAGAAATAGTTGCGCCGATAGCAATAGCTCAATTGTAACCTTCCCGAGAGCGTATAAAAACAACTATTTCTCGAATATTAAAGCAGTCATTAATACTTTTATATGGCCTTTCTCTAGTTTATCTGCACGATTGTTTTGTATGAGTGTATCTTTGAGAGTTTATTTCTAGTCTGACTCTAAGCAAGATTTATTTTTAAATTTGGGGAGTGGGCCCCTGTGGGGAATATGGAGAAAAACCTGCTCTTTCATATGACACCTCACTTACTGAGTATCACCTTCAGGATCACGAGCAATATTGGTTTGAATCTCATTTTGGTAATTAAAACATCGACCAATTTAGCATGAATGCGCAATGCACTTGGACTGCATAGATCTAGATCTAGATGTGTGCAATCTCTATGGGAAGGTTTTAGCACACCATATTTTTATGGAGAATTGCACGTACCCTTTTGGTGTTCTTCACAATTAATAAAGTCTTGCATTTGATCATCATCAAGAGTTTCTTCAGCCATTTTTGCCTTGTTTGGAATTCAGTACGATCGAGATTGCCGTACGGTCTGCACTGCGCTCTTTATTAAAAAAAGTGGTAAATTAAGCTAGCGACCAATTCTTCGCACACGTATTCGCGATCGCTTAAACCAGTTTTTAAAGTAGATATTCATTGATTTTAAAAACTAAATTTATTTTCATCATTGCAAAGTTGAAACTTTGATTCGACATGGTTATCAAAATTCAATGCTTGGAAATATTCGAAGTAATGATTATTATAAATTAAAAAACCCTTGAATACAGCCCCGGCATAGCACCTGAAGAGCTCTCCGAATGCTGCTGAGATGTGTGAGATCACTGTATGGACATGATTTGCACAAGCAGACGATGTCCCATGACATCTCACACATTTTCAGTGCCTGTGTTTTAATCTTCTCTTGAGTTCTTTCTCTTACTCCATTACCGACAGGCTAAACAAAATAAGACGCCATTGTATATTCAGCCGCACACACCGCGGTATGTTCGGCGTTTCAAGAGGGAACAAATGCCGTCCTTAATATCATTCCGGGTTTTTTTTCAATTTGAAAGTCTGGTTTCTTTGATTGTTAATCAACCCCTATCCTGTGTATTTACAAGCAAAATATTTTAGTTATCAGAATCGGGTCGTATCCCCTTTTGAATGGTTTGACATGCCATTACATTTATATACACTAAACATATTATAATTTGACAAATAATAGCTTTGCAATTATGTTCATTCTTTATGGGATGTCGTCTGCTTGGGCAGTATTGGTCTATATAGTGACGTCATTAAAACATCGTTTCCGGCGAATCTCTCGTATATCCCAGCTGCTATGGAGGTGGTTGTATTTGTATTTTTATAAATCACCCGGTATGTAGTTGACATAAAAACTTGTACGGTTGCCATCTGTTAGCTTACCAGTTTCTAGTGATAAATTAGTTGACATATTTGTGATTTTCTTTGAATATCACCTTTAAGCAAAACTGAACTATGCCCGGTAACTTGATTTTTACCCTCGAACTATTACATGGGCGTAGCATTTTTCGTTTATTTATGGGAATGGCTAAAACCATGACTGCAATTTCGACCAATCAGATGGCTGGATTTCTTGAGTGAGGTATATAATCTTACATATTTGATACGCGGGGGGTAACATTGATCAATGTAAACGCGTCTTATATGGTTGGAAATATATAAGTACAGACAAAAAAAGAATTTTTCAAACTAAAATTTAGAAGAATGCGGTTTGCCAAATTGTGACATGGTAGTATAGCTCTGTCGGCCGGCCCGTCGATTTTACGCAGAAAACGAGCTTAAAATAACAGTAAATTGACTACTTTAACAAATAAATCGCGAAAGTAATTCATAATGAAATTATAATTTGTTTGCTTTACTAGAAAGAACATAGTCTTTCTCGTATTATACTAGTCAACTAGGAAAAATATGTTGTACTTTGAGCAGAATGAAGATGGATGTAAACAAAAACGTGTTTTTCACGTCATTCTTTATAGAACATGTTTGGGTAATAAATCAAGCACTGTTCGGTGGCCCAAAGGTGGTGATATGGGAGGAGATTCTAATCTCATAAAACTTTCTACATTTATTTTTCTTATCATCTCTGTTTACATTTTTTTGCAGGCCATTTATATTTTAAAAAGGGGCACTTATAAGAAGGAAAAAGGACACTAAAAGGACAGGAAAAGTGGCTCTTGTCAAAGTAAAATTTATATTTATTAAACGGGGCACTTTTCAAAAGTAAAAAGTCGCACTTACTACAAAAAAAGAGAACATTTCTGAAGTTAAAACTGGTCCGATGTAGATTTAAAAAAGGGAGATGGCTATCTTGAGGGTTTAAACATGTGGGGGCACTGTGAGAGACGCCTATACCCCCCCTTCCCCTTCCTCCCCGAGGAAACGCCTCTGCTTTCGAATTAAAGAGAGAACTCACGATTCAAAACTCTGTCGAGTCGAATAAGCTCGAATAGATTTCAAAATTCCATAACTATTTGCAATATTTCGTTTTCCATCTTTTCTCTAATATGCAATTGTGTGTTCACCCTCCCCTCGTCTCTCTCTCTCTCTCTAATATAAATGAATGTATCTTTCTATCTTTTTATTTATCTATTTACCTTTCTCTCTGTCTAAAATTCTTTTCCCTTCAAATCGCTCAGCCCCGGCACCCCTCTCTTTCACTCTCTAAATATGTTAACTATAAAACAGCTGAACGTCTTAAAATGATTCAGCACAAGTCTGACTTGTTAGAAGTTGTAATGCTGGAATATAATTTGTATACAATATTTATTAGATATAATTTTTATGAAATCTGAATATATCCACACACAAAAAATAATCAACTTTCTCCAAAACACACTTTAGTTGTTTTATAATTTTAAAAAAATCAAACACTCAACAACCAGTATTCATTGCTGTTGTTGGTTTTATTTTATAAGTCTCAAAACTTATATTGTATGAAGTTACATTGTTTCCGTGTCTGCAATATTTAATGAGGAAATATATTTTACAAAGGAAATATCTTTTGTGTTCTTGTATTTATCAAAGACATCCCTCAAAAAAATGTAAGTTTAGCGTTTGCTGTTACTGTTATACAAACTCTACTGCGAAAGAAGATGATTGAATGTTCCTTTTTGTATTTATTAATTGAAGATTGACGACATTATCCTTCTTGATTGCTTAACGTTGTTTCGATTATCTATCTTTTTTTTTACATCGGCCTCTAAAAGACAGAATGGTGCAACGAAGGAAATAATATTCAAATTGCGAGATATACTGCATATAAGTCTTCATTTTCTTACACATACTGAATTCATATTCTATTACATCGGCTAACAGCATTTATATCAACATTTTTAACATAAGAGAAAATAAAACCCAAGATAATGAATGCATTTCTCCTTATATAAATGAAAGCCAAGTAATTCCATAATCTATTTTCAATATAAAAGTAATAGGAACCATAATTACTGAATATAGAACAACATCTAAGCCTCTTCTGAGTTCTGGTGACGAGTGTACATTTCGAGAAAAATTGGCTTGAAACAAATATAAATGTTCTTCATGCAGAAAGAATTGTAAGTAGTAGATTGTTTGTGGTTTGTTTTCGGGGTATGGATTCGTAGTGTTGTTTTCCATTAGAACAGAGAAATGTAAACAAACGAACGAGAAATTGCTGAAAATCATACTTACTTAAACTATGTGTTCTATTGCCTGACACGCAATCGAGAAAACCTTTTCGACTTTCTTTTCTTTCTTTTCTTTGCTCATTACTCAGTTATTATACATTTTTATATCGAATTCATACAGCAGATAATACAAGATATCATATTTGTTATCATCGAACATTCAGTTAAAGTTTGCTTTGATTCTACAATATTTTATATCCATCATTACCAGAACCCAAGATTACCTTTTAAATGAAGATTCATTAATAAAGACAAAGAGAAATAAAAGTAACAGTTTTATATAATGAGAAAGATTCTGCAAACCATGAAGGAAATACGATAAAGACAAAAGATAATTGTTTGAAGCGAAATCAAGGGAGAAAAAGATATTTAATATGATTATCGAGAATTAATCATAGCCAGGTTATGTAAGCAAGCTGTATTGAAGTAGGTTCTTGATGCCTTTAGAAAGTAGCATTATAATGCACTGAATGTTTTCCAGTTATAAAATCGTTGTATTCGTAGATGACGTATAATTACAGTTGCATGTTGGAATGACAAAATCGTTACGATCACTATGATGATGATTGGATGACGCTCGCAATTTGTTATAAATCTACAGACTTCAAATTTGTAATGCATTTACGTTTTTATTTTGACCCCTTTTGATCAAACTGGACTCCACTTAGAAAATGCGAAGACAATTATTGTTTATGATTTTTAAAAGAATAGTACTTCACATAGTTTATCATTACAATATCGATGTCTATACACATACTTTGGCCTCCCAAAGACTCCCTAAATCAAAATTCTGAACCAGAATTCAATTCGTAAACATAATTCTTTAATACAAGCAATCATGAAAGTCGTTATAATATTAGTATCACGTGATTGTAAGGGCTCGACTGCTTCAAGTACTATTTCCATCACATGTTTAGTAACTGATTATATGTTCAAATCATGGCTTGCTAGATTGCAGTAAGATCCTTGCCATCCTGAGTGACAAACCCTAGCTCCTGTAATATCATTACAATCATAGTGGCCTTCACTGCTGTCCCTCGCTAAACAATATGTGCTACATCCTGAAGACGTTCCGTAGTAATGCTCATCGCAGTAGACCTTCACTGCCACAGTCGTTCTAACAAACATAATAAAAAGAACACACATTTCTATGTTTCCTGTTTGAAAATGCTGTTACTTTTGTGAATATCAATTCTAAATAAGCATGCTTTGTTCTTTATTATGTAGAGATAGTACAGGATTAAAGTGATTACAAATACCGTCAACACAATCATCAATCAAATCATGCATTATTTGGAGTTGGATTTTGAATCATCCCTGTAACCAACATACCTTTTCTAAAACGTTATAAAAAACTACCTAGATGCAAAGATGAATAGCACTTCGTCTGTAGACTTCACATTTTATTGTACTTGCTATGCTAATGTGATCTTCAAAATATACCATTAGGATTTTGATTTGCACCAAGCTATATTAACGATCTATTAATATACGCCTGTTTATAGCAAAAACAGCACATCAGCCCTTTCCTCAGATTCCAAGAATCCAGTTACCTTTACAGTTGAGACCCAGGCGCGTACACAGGGGGGGGGGGGGGGGGTGGGGGGTTTGGTATTTTTGTTTTTGTGTAAAAACTTCCATAACCCCCCTGTTTAAAAAAAAAATTATTATAACATTTTTTTTTTAAATTCCCATGGCTGACCTAAAAAAGCTGACCCTACCCCCCCCCCCCCATCGGAGCAAAATGTCAAATTTTCAAATTTCGAGACCCCCCCCCCCCCCACACATACACACACACTTATTCAGCGGTCGGCTGAGTCGTTGCGATTTTTTAGGCCCGATTTATAAATGTTAAAACCCCCCTTGAAAAAATCCTGCGTACGCGCCTTTTGAGACCTATAATATAATTAGAGAGTTCCAAATCCAAATTGAAATCCTTCATTTTTTTAAAGTACAGCTCGACATGAGAATAAGGCATTCATACGCAGGCGTAGCCTCTTGTCGATGGCCCTCGCTTTGTTGGAGTCCGTAAATTCTGGCGAGCGAGGCGAGTCAGAGAAACCGAGCGAGCTTCGCTCGCCAGAATTTACGGACTCCCAAAACGCGAGGGCCATCGACAAGAAGCTAACACAGGCGCGGATCCAGGATTTCTTAGGGGGGGGGGGCAAATTTGAAATCATGCGAGCCAAATATTGGTACGTAATGGTGACAGTGGCAAAATGACCAAAAACGTTTTGGGCATCACCCCGCTCTTACATGCAGGCCCCCCTGCACGTTTCTCTAAATAGGTGTGGGTGTGTGTGTGTGTGTGGGGGTGGTATTTGCGATCAGGTAGAGTGTAGCGTTAATTGGCATGGCAGGTCACGGTCACGCCTATGGCGGAGCCCTCATAGGCGCAGGGGTTTTGGGCAATAAATTACGGTCAGATAAGCATCCAGGGGCCCGCCTTAGGGCCATTGTTTGGGTTCAGGGGGCAGAGCCCGGAAGCTCAGGGGTTTAGGCATTTAATTACGGTCATATAAGCATATTTTGATACCTTATTTGTGACACTGGCAGACACAAATTGGTGTGGGGTCCAGGGGGCAGAGCCCCCAGAAGCTCAGGGCTTTTATACATTAAATAACCGTCATATGAGCATATTTTGATACCTTATTTGTGACACTGGCAGTTCACGAATTGGCGTGGAGTCCAAGGGGCGTAGCCCCGGAAGCTCAGGGGTTTCAGGCATTAAATTAACGTCAGATGAGCTAATTTTGACACCTCATTATTTTGTGCAAAGGCAGGTCAATTTTCTTTCTTTCTTTAGGAATTTACCATTTTCCAACAAACGCATATAATTTACTCAAAGAAAAATCTCGAAAAATTATGTAAGTTCAGCAACATTTGTAGATCACCGTTATCGATTTAGCAATAAACCACGTTTGAATTATATTTGGGGGGCATCTGTCACCCAAGCCCCCCCCCCCCCATCAGTACGCCAGTGCCCCCTTCCCTCCCCTCCCCGATCTACACTTTGATGGCGGGAAAAATCGCACCTGATCTCCCCTACCTTTCTTCTTTCTCTTTTTTTCTTCTTTCCCTTTATCTCCTCTTTTCTTTTCCCTTCCCTTCTTTCTCTCTGTTTTAGGTTTGCTGAGGGAGGCAAGGGCCTTCCCCCCGATCCACACGATGTTGGCGGGATTAATCGCAACCGTTCTCGCCTTCTTTTCACTCTTTTCTTTTCTTCTTCCTCTTTTTTTTTGTTCCCGTTTAGCTCTCCTCTTTCCCTTTCCCTTCCTTCCCCCTTTTTGGGGCGGGCGTGGGGGGGGGGGGGTCAAGGGTCTTTTGCCCCCCCCCCGAACATTACAACTTGTTGGCGGGAAAATTGCAGCTGATATCCCCCTTCTTTTCTTTTCTTCTTCCCTTTTTTTTCCATCCCTTTATCTCCTATTTTCCTGTTTTGTTTCCCTTTCCTTCTTTCTTATTTGTTGATGGGGGGGGGGGGGGGAAGGAGGTAACAACTAGGAGGCAAGGCCCTTTTGGCCACCCCCCCCCCATCGCCTTCTTTTCCCCCATTTCTTTTCTGCTTCCTCTTCTTTCTTTCCCTTTGTCTCCTCTTTCCCTTTCCCTTTTTTTTCCTTCTCCCTCCTTTTTTTGCGGGGGGGGGGGGCAAGGCCCGATCCCCCCCGCTCGATCCGCGCCTGATTCATACGGACTCTTATCTAGTTCGAGAAAGATGGCGCAATAAGAATGCCTAGTAAATGTACCATAAATAATCTCAAAGACGAATTGACATTTATTGAATTTGAATATGGACACTACCTACTATTTGTTCACTTACAGAGATGTTCCTGCGCCATTCAGTGTCACGTTGTGTTCTGTTGCTAAAGCTGATGTTTGATCGGGGATATAGTTGTAATCGTAGCCGTAATAATCTATCTTGTCGTCTGCATTATATGGATCAAAATCCCAAACCTCAATCTTGGACCTGAATCCAGTCTATGGAAGATACAAAATTAATAGATTGAAGATGTACTACAACCCTGTATAAGCAGACACGGCTGACGCCCCCACCCTCGAAAATGTTCAAAAAAGCAATTCCCAGGCAACCTTCACCTCACGAATATAAGGACAACGAGATGTTTATTTTTTGAAATTTTGAAACTTTTTTTTTTATTCGAGTTCCCCCCCCCCCCCCCCGTGGCGAAAATGGCACGTGAGCCCATGCCTATGCCTATGCACATGTAAAAAAATGTAAAATGTATGGATTATCACAAACGCACATTCAGACATTCGTAACGAACTAATTCTTATTCAGAAGTCTTAATAAAAGAGCGATGTAAAAAGTGGTAGGATACAAGAGAAAGAGAGAGAGAGAGAGAGAGAGAGAGAGAGAGAAAAAAAAAAAGATACAGGTGTCGTATTCAAACGGTTTGAGCACCTGACTTGAACGCAAAAGTTGCGGGTTCGATCCCTTGACACCGCACTAATATCATTTGGCAAGGCATTAATCTACATCTGCCAGTTCATACCCAGAAGAAAAATGGGGACCTGGTAGGATGACGAAAGCCTTTTTGTTAGTAATTGCCATATACCCTGAACATATGGTAGGAATACTTCCCAGGGAGGGAGTGGAGATTCAGTGGAGCATTTTCCTTGAATGAATCCGATGTCCTGGTGATAATATCTGTAAAGCGCTTAGAAACGGTATTTCGTATTAAGCGCTATATAAATCCAGATTATTATCATTATTATTATTATTATTTATAATCACTTTTACTTTAAGAAAAGATTTACTCACCGACCATGAATTGATGGTCAATACAATTGGGTTGACTAGATTGCTGGCTAGAATTGACGGGAAGCTGAAATCATCATTGTTGTCATAGATGTGGTTCGTTTGAAAGTTACCATGAGCGCAATCGGTCATATCGTTATTCCTGAATAAAGGCAGATATTAAACGGGATGAAGGCTAAACATGTGAGGAAAATACAATGAGATGTTAAAACTTGATCATTACAATTCTAGTGATGAACTGGTTAAATGTGTATACAGTCATATTTAGATGTAGGAGCTCAATTATAATATGCTGTGGTACATTATTCAACGATGAAATGAGAATGACTTTGGGCTAAAGCAAATTGTTTTCTAAATTCTTAAATTACACTGTCATCAATAAAAATTCTTCCATTCAAACAGATACTAATTCAATCGCTCAACATCATTGTCAACATCATTATCATCATCATTATATGACCATCAATGAAAAGTTATCGGTTTAAAACAAAGTTTCTTCACTGCTTCGAATGAAGTTCGTTACTGATCTCGTTTATGTTGATGCACTTGGAAATATCTTCTTTTTGATAACTTGAATGAAAATTTAATTTTCGTTCGATTTAAAACGGTGTTTGGATGACAATGGGAAATATTTGTTGACTACTTTATCTATGAGACAGTAATAAATGCCATCATGGATCTTATTACCCTCTGTAGACATCGAAGCAGAGATTGAATCTGTTGTCGCAACTACTACCACATCCGAAAATGCTGGAGTCGCAACATCCCCCGTCAAGTTCTATGTGACCGGTGTTTTCGAAGTCTACCAATCTGAAAGACACTTTCACCCTGCCATGGATCTGTGGTGTGGGAAAACAGATAATGGCATAATTTTACACGTAAAAAACTTCGGTTGTTAACACATACACACACCAAAAAAAAGTCCAAACTGAGATAACATTACAGGTTCGACTCTCGAGCCCCATCATTTATTTATTAACTTTTTTTAATAAAAGTTCTGATATTTATACGGGGTGGCACATATAACCAATTTGGTGGTCTTCCATGAGGCTCTGTTTGGTAAGAATTTTAAAAAATGGGTAAATGCACAAGCATATTAACAGGTAAAATACAAATTAATTGCTATCCTCATGAAATAACTGATCATTCAATAATTATACTTGATAAGTTACATGAAATGTGTGAAGATGTAAATAGAAATCCATTAAAAAAATGGAAATAAAGAATAAATAATAACCACGTAGCCTATTTAAAAGACGAAGAAAATAATTGAAAAAACGTACATTTTTTATAATTTGATATAAGCTTAACACACGGGATACCAAATTTTTATATCCATATTTACATTCAATTGCTCTTTAAATACACTGAGGTTGTTTACAAGATAGCTGAAAAATGGATACATTGCATGTATGAATACATGATATAACGTTAACCATGTCAACCAAATTTAATAATTTTGTAAATACGAAAATAGGTAAGCTTCGCACGAACCCCCCCCCCCCCCAAAAAAAAAAAATGTCCACTTACATGTCATCTGCAGATAAAAAGGATTTTGCGCTCTAAAAAAAAGATACCCAATTATTTATATTGGGTAAAATTGTACACTTTACGAGGGTGAAAAGGGAACATGCATGTTTGTTGGGTAAAATATGACACAGGGGTGGTTGGGTAAATATTTACCCAGCAAATGTTTCATATTTTACCCAATTGATGTGCAATATATTTGACCCAATGTAAAAGGTAAAATTTTACCCAACGACAACCATGTTCCCTTCTTGAAACAACCCATCCTGGGTACTCGTTTACTTTGTTGTTGTGTAATTTTTTTATCCAAAAGTTGGGTAAAATTTTAACCCAACCTTTTTTAAATTTACACAGATTTGGGTGAATAGAAAATTTGTCCGAGGAGTTGGCTGGAAAGGTACATGTTATATGTGTTACACAATTTGTTGTCCAGAATTATGTGGAATTTCAAGTCCATATTGAGAAGATTTACATGCATTCATGCAAATGAATGCTGCGGAAAGACACAAGTGCATGATCGTAGTCTATTTCGAACAAAGTCGTCCATCTTCTGTTGATCTTGAACACGATTACGTAGTCGATGAACAGCTGATTCGGAACGACCGACCACGCTAGCGCTTCAATCATAGTTTGTAACATCAGTTGTGTCATAATACCAACGTTTAGGTGTCAAAACTTGTGTTTACCCAACGCGTGGTTAAAATACTAATCTGCATCGTTAATTTCTTACCCCAGAAATGCGCTCAGTCAAATTTTGATATGACATTATGGCAAGTGTAATTCAATTTCAGAGGGACTTCATGTTGAGCACAAGGTTGGGTAATACTTTACCCAACTTTTTAAACAGCGATTCTGCATAGCACAAGTTTGCACTCTATTTTTAGAGTGTGTAGTGTGTTTAAAACTGTTCAAAGTAGGTGACGTCTTGATAAAAAACTTTCAAGTTGGTTCCATACTCTAATTCCAGAAATTAGAGGACTATTTTTATATGTGTCCATCCTGAATTGTATAGTTGTATGGTTGTGTACGAGGCGAGGGTGAGGGCCAGCGATGGAGATTGTTTTGAGAGTTTGCAGCCCCCCTTTCGATAATCCAGTTAATATTTAAAAATATTAATATTCGAGAAATCGTTGTGGTGTGATAGTCACCTTATTGGGCAAAGATTTCCTTTTTTGCTCCTCGCACGCAATTCTCAAAAGAAGTGAATATTCTGGCAAGAGATGTCAGCACCGGTGACAAATTTGTGCCTGTATAGCTCTGCAGATTCGACAGCCTCTGAATTTCTAAATATTTGTTCGTTGAAGTAAAATGTTCCCAAATTAGGAATAACATGTATAAAGCAGTTGGAGAAAATGAGGACACGCGTGCACGAACAACAATGAATTATTTATCATATTCTGTTCGCAAATAGTGAATCTCGACGGGAACATTCGGTAGAAACTTTGGAAGCAGGGATCGGAACACTGGATTCTTGCATGACCCTAAATTCGGTTTCTTTTATTGAACTTGTACATACAGTTTTGTGGCAGTAGTTCTTGTAGCACATTAGTCAATTGGTTTGTTGTTCCTTTCTTCCTTCCCGTTACTTTCGAGCCTGTTTAATAACCTGCTTCTGTTTGTTTAAACAATGCAATCCAAAGGGAACCCATTGCTGACGGGAGAGGGGGGGGGGGGGGTAATATCTTTTGTACATTTTCATTTTTCTTTTAATACTTATGTTCTTGTTTGTTGACATGAAGCGACCGCGTTTCCTAGGCCTAAACATAAACCAAACCCTTTAAAAGCCAAGTTCACTCAAAAAAAATTTGCTTTTAATAGATGCAGAAAAGAAGAAACAGAGGAAAACAAATTCGAGTAAAAATCGGATAACTAAAGGAAGTTATGATTTTTTGAAAAGGTATGAAAAAGTATGGAACAATGGAAATCACTACACAATCTGCCAATTTGGTTATCAGATTGTGGCGTCATTACTTCACTGTTTATCAATTTCTTTATATATTTTTATCCCATTAATTTCCCTTTTTATCCCCCAAAACCTGATTTCCCCATGCCTTTGCCCAGGTTATATGATTTGTATCATATTGCGTGCATGGTATTTCACCTGAGACAAATTAAGGATTTGAAAGTGATCATATTGTAATTTAATTATATTGCATAACTTTTCTACTTATCTGAAAAAATAGAGACAACGTGCATCTGAGACGATTATCATAAAATACAAAATATGAAAGAAGCTTGTTAAGGGGTTTAAACAATTATTGCTGAAGGATACAAGTAGAACATACATGTAGAGGCGTATCTAGGATTTTAGAATGGAAGCGGTTCTCTTTAAATTACTCAAGTCAATAAGCTAAACCCATAGCCCTTCCAATAGTCCGCCTATAAAACAAAAAGTTTAGATCATGATGACATTCCATAAGAACATGATTTGACACGAATATATTTTACAAGTATACTTCCTCATTTATTACATATACACTCCTATGTAATTGTCACGATTGGGTCTCGATCATAGCTGATTTTTAAAATAAATGACAATTATTGGGGGTGTAAACTTGTTTTTGACTCACACGGTAGAGAGACAGAGGTGAGAAAACCGTGATGCAATGCTTTCAGAAAAGTCAGCATCACATTAATCGCACGATAACGACAGTCCAACAGAAACACAGTTTAAAATGTTATTAACATGTATTACACTCAATAGTTAGATTTAAGGAACGTCATTTACAAGTATAAATTAATCAGTCAAGTCCATCTTTTCATGATGACATTAGGTGACAAGAATATTCTAGAAAAAGCACTTACCGTGACAAGTTAATCGCCAAAGTTTTATGTCCTAAGTCCTTTTTTTCTTATTACAACTAAAGCTATGAATAGAAATAAGACTCATGATTAACGACATTAACTTAACTCGCCCTGTTAATTTTAGTTTGTAATTTCCGCACGCAGTAACGCTTGTAAATATACAAAAATGCCATACTTGTCTTGAAACTTACAATCCTCTTCTCTCTCCGTTGATTTTTTTTCTCATGAATCTTAATCGTAAACTTGATAGTCCCCTTCCCTTATAGTACATCGCGTTCAATGAGATGTACAGTGTACAGCTGTAAAGTTAGGATATTTTTCTGCTGTGTCCCTGATTTTGTTTGAAATAACAACCAACATGGCATCGACTTCGAGACTTGCGAAGAAAAGGAAAGTTTCTGATGAAGGCAGAAACTTTAAATCAGATTGGTCTTTGAAGTATTTCTTCATGGAAGAAAAAGGTCACACTAAAAAGGTAAGCCTGATTTTTGTTCTTCACTGATTTTGTTGTTTGCAAAATTGTTTGTGTGTACACGTCATTGCGTGAGTATGAGGGGGAAGGGGGAGAAGACCCGGAGAATAATCACATATTAGGACATAAAGGGTGTGCCGCTCTAATTGGTCACTTTTTCACACAAAAATACGTAACCGTAAAAAAATACCATCAAAAATGGGTACGTTTTTTTTAATAATTTGCAAAATTTGCAAAATTTTCAGTTGTTTCAGTTGTTTGCCATGCAAACACCAGAAAATGTGAAAACTATGTCTTTTTCGAGAAAAATGCCCCCAAAGAAAACCTTAATAATTGGTAGTGTTTTCGAGGCTTGAGCGGCACCCCCCAATAAACAGAACACTAAAAAGTAACCTCTTTTGGGAGTGTATTTTAAGTGATTTTAAAGTACAGTGCCTTTTGAACTAGATTTAAACGTTATCGACACGTGCCTTCATTTAAACAAAAAAAGGTACTCCTGTTCACGTTTTCATCTAACCTAAAAACCACCAGTTTATCACGCGACTAGAGTAACGTGATTCCACTTACCTCTGTAAATCAAGTGTTTATGACCAAATAACCACTTGACCAAGCAACGAGTTTTTTGTCAGTTAACCGATGGTGGCGATAAATACGTAATTATTTGGTCTTGTAAGCACCTTTATTGATTGGTTTCACAGGTTATCCAAGGTTAATGGTAATAATCACGTTACTTACACCGGCTAATCGTCTTATTGTTCTGTCCGTGAATCTCTGGTTATATTCAACAAGTAATTCTGAGGTGTCTTACACACCTCTTTGAAAGGTTTCAAAGTTACCATAAATTTCTTGGTTATGATCACGTGGCTCAAGCTGATTACTAATCCAAGCTGTGAAAACGTGATATGTAGGTGTGAAAATTAGTAATTATTAAGTGTTTTAAAACACCTTTTTAAATGGTAGTCAAAGTTGCCATAAGTTCCGCGGTGATGATCTCGTGACTCAAACGAATTATTAATCTAAGCTGGTCATACGTGACTTTTAGGTGTGAAAAATTAGTCATTATTAGGTGTCTTAAAACACTATTTAAATGGTTTCAAAGTTACCATAACTTTCTTGGTGATGATCACGTAGTTAAAACTGATTACTAATCTAAGCTGTGAATCCGTGATATTTAGGTGTGAAAAATTAGTAATTATTAGGTGTCTTAAAACACCTATTTAAATGGTAGTCAAAGTTGCCAGCAGTTCCGCGGTGATGATCTCGTGACTCAAACGGAATATTAATCTAAGCAGGGCATACGTGACTTTTAGGTGTGAAAAATTAGTCATTATTAGGTGTCTTGAAACACCTATTTAAATGGAAGTCAAAGTTGCCATTAGTTCCGCGGTGATGATCTCGTGACTCAAACGGATTATTAATCTAAGCTGGGCATACGTGACTTTTAGGTGTGAAAAATTAGTCATGATTAGGTGTCTTAAAACCCCTATCTAAACCGTAGTCAAAGTTGCCAGCAGTTCCGCGGTGATGATCGCGTGACTCAAACGAATTATTAATATAAGCTGGGTATTCCGTGTTTTCCATGTGTGAAAATGAGTTATTCTTGGGTGTCTTGATGGTTTCACAGTTACCATTTAAGTTCCGTGGTGATAATCCCGTGACTGTTGGCATATTTCTATGTTCACCAGTTGATAACTGACTGTTGGCATATTTTCATTGCACCAGTTGACAACTGGAGTGTGCATATTTCCAGTTGCACCAGTTGATGACTGAGCGTTGGCATATTTCGAGTTGACCCAGCTGACACCAATTCATTTGCATATTGAATATGGGGTGCGTGCAGATCTATGTTTTTTAAACAATTTATCTGAATTTACAGCATATTTCTTAATTACTGATGATTTAGTTATATGCAATTCATTTCGAAAATACTACAAATATAAATTACCAGTTATTAGGACATTTCGCTACTTCGTATAAATTACATTTAGTTAAACATGAATAAGGGAAACATTAACTGTGAACTAAAATAATTTCAATAAAGTACAAGTATACCAAATTTGTTCGATTAATTCAATTATGTAAGTCTACTTATTACCAATGCCCTTACATTGGAAATACAGACGTACCAGTATTGAAGTTTTGTTGCTGTTCAACTGGTTGGAAGTTTTACCAAATTGTTCTCATGGCTCAGCTAGACCAGTTGAATTATAACTGGCCTGGATCAACTGGATCATTTAGCCCATTTCAATTTCCAGGGTTACCAGTTAGCATCAAATGGTTCATCAACTGGACCAGTTGCAACTAGCTTTCTCTTCTGGGATGTTTGCACCCCCCCCCCCCCCACCCAACCCCCTCTAATCCCAAACTGCTTCCTGCGCGCCTGGACGTAATTATGGAAGATCCAAGACACGATGTTCAGAAACGGGATGAGAACGTCATTATTTTGGTTCATTTATTGTGTAACATTTGCGTAATTATTGGGTTGAACGCGGGTTACAGTAACGTATTACCCTTCGACGTAAATTTCACGTGAATGAAGAACATGATTCATCTCAAATCAGCCTCGTAATATTCACGTGAATTTCACGCAGATATTTTGACTAAAACTATCACTAACGCTTCACGTGTTTCTGTGACGCGATAATTTCGTGTATGAAGATGTAATTTTATAACAAAACAAACACGGGAGTATTAGGTTTACAAACCATGGTCTCCAAGGTAGGGATAATCACGTTATTATAATGGTGATATCGCAGTGACAATTGCGTGATTTAGTGTACGTGTGTTTTAAGTTACCTAATGCAATAAACGTATTAACACATTTACGTAAATGTCCGGTGTTTGAAGAACGTAACTCTCCTCAAGTCGATACCTTGATATTGACGTGATTTTCACGTGATTTTGTTTATTGGGCCCCGTCCAAACCAAATCTGAGTACCCCCCCCCCCCCCACCGGGAGAAGACGGCCCTCCAAGTTATGCAAATCGTTTACTGTGGCCCGCGAGCTTTAAAAGGTTGGCTACCCGTGGGTTAAACTTATCATAATATCACGTGAATATGAGTTATCATCATTGCATGTCCTCTTCCCAATTTTGTCCTGTTTTTTTTTTTTCCCTAAAAGAATGGGCATATTTTTCATTATGACATCAACAAAGAACCCTTGCATAATACACTGGTGCATATCAACGTAATCAAACACTTTCAAGATTTTCAATCTCAACTACATGTACTTGCCATCGTCAAGTAACAAAACGCAGTAACTGCATGCCATTTATACACATTACGCAAATCAGATACCTCTTGTAATCAAGTATTTTACCACAAAAATGAGAGATCGGAAAAAATGAATCGGATTTAGGGTTAAAGTTAAATTTGAGTTCTGGTAAAAAAAGAAAACGAATTCTCAGAGAATCAAACGAAAGTTACACTGAATGTGCAAGATTACAAATAAATGTCATTTTCCAAACAATTTTGGAAGAAAATGTATACTGGCTGAGTAATGAGCATAGAAAGATAAGGAAATCAAGGTAATTAGCCCCGACATTTTTGTGTAGTCCCATGTACATCTTTCTGTATACAGTGCTTGTTACTTTACCGAGGCTGGGCCAAGTTTATTATGATTTTGATGACTCCAGAACCTTGCAGTACACACAAATACTTAATGGTACATGATCAACTTGTTCTGATCAATTCCACACCTTTTCTTTCAAAATGCAATCGCATGACCAGAGCTCAACTTTATCTTTAAATAGGAGTAATATATTACAAAAGAGGGAAAATACACATGCTTGAAATAAGGAAACTCATGCTCTTACCTGACCTGTTCCCGTCTGATGTGCTGAGAATGTAATAAAATGTAAACAAAGGTTCAATAGGGTCAATTTTTGTTACGAAGTTTAATCATCTTAGAAATGTAAACGTAGACAGTGTCCTATTATTCAAATTATGCAAGGAAACCCGTTTACTTTCTAGACTTCCCTTTAAGACACCATTGAGTGACTTACTGACTTCTTTTTTTTCTGTAAAAGTACATGAGCATTAGCCTACATCAATAGCCCACTTGTCGTAATGGCCCAAGTTAAAGTAGATATTCATTGATTTTTAAAACAAACTTTATTTTGACTATTGCAAAGGTGAAACTTTAATTGGAGAAGGTTATCAACATTTAATGCTTGGAAAAATTCGAAGTAATAATTATTATCAATAACAAAACGCTTAAAAAGCAGCCCCGGCATAGGACCTAAAGAACTCTCCGAACGCTGCTGAGATGTGTGACATCACAGGTTGGACATGATTTGCACAAGCAGATGATGTCCCATGACATCTCACACATGTTCAGTGCATGTTTTTCTCATCTTCTCTTCAGTTCTTTCTCTTACTTCACTATCGTCAGGCTAAATGTTTGATCTATTGCCTCACTCTAAACTCCGCGCATGGTATTATTTTAATGACAAATGCAGCGATAAAAAGTATTTAGGAATCTCACGCCATTGTATTTTTAGCTGCATACACGGCGGTATGTTCGGCGTTTAAAGAGGTAACAAATGACGTCCATACTATCATTCCGTTTTTGTTTTCAATTTGAAAGTCTGGTTTCTGTGATGGTTAATTAACGCGTGCCCTCTGTATAAACAAACAAAAATATTTTATTTATCATAATCGGTTTCATATCCCACTTTGAATGGTGTGAAATGCCATCACATTTCTATACACTAAACTCATTATACTTTTGAGAAAAATAGAATTGCAATTATATTCATTGTTTATTGAGTGTCGTCTGATTGGGCAGTATTGGTGCATTATGTGACGTCATTAAAACATCGTTAATTTTCTGGCGAATCTCTCTCATATCCCAGATGCTATGGAGGTGGTTTAATTTGTATTTTTATAAATCACCGAATATGTAGTTGACCTAGAACTTGTACAGTGGTCATCTGTTAGCTTAACAGTTTCTAGTGATACACTATTTGACATTTTGTGATTTTCTTTGAATGTCCCCTTTAAACTGATTGAATCTTTGCGCAGTACAAAATGTACGACCATTCGGTACAGTGGTCTGAAAAATCAGACGATTACTATAAAATCATTGCAATCACTAAAGTCGTTTCAACAACTAATGCTAGTCATTTTCCTTTAAAGCCCGTCTGTACTAATTTGGCCAGGAGGGATTAGACCACCCAGCGTGGTCACTGACAGATGATTATCTCATCAACTCAGCTCTCAATTAACATAAAAAAAAGAGGATCAGGGGGGACCAACGGGCACCGCTTTGGCACTGTTTCTGTATAGAGGGAGCAACTAGCTACAAATAGTACAGTGGGGCTTTTCAACATTTTCAAGCCCTTTTGTTTTGAGGAAGGTTTTAAATTAGTGTTATCTTTCAAATGCCGTTGGAATTTAACCTTTTCATTTTTGGGCCTGCAAATGGTACATAGTGCTTTAAAAGTATAAGGACAATAGACTCAGTCCCCTGTTAATAATTGTCTTGTCCTATACATTGTTTGAATTTTGTTCAATTACTCATTTTGCGTAATATAGGTAATAAACGAAAGAGCTGATCTAAATTTGATGAATGACAAAATAACATATAACATATATCCTCTATCATTTCACATTTCAAATAAATGCTTTCCACCTTTTTAAAAAAAAAAATGGATTATTTATCTCTGTATACCCCCTCTGCGTCTTAAGCTATGGTCACAAATCAGAGCAACGACCGACCGATTAGTAGCCTGCTCGGTCGCCGCTGGAATTTGGGCATCGCCCAACGATTTTTTTTTTTTTTTTTTTTTAGAAGTCGAGCAGGCTGTAGAGCCCTGGCGATGCCTGGGCGGTGCCCTGTCGATTTCCCGTCGGTCGCCGGTCGATTTTAGGTCAAAACTGGGCGAAATCGGAGAGCTTCTCCGGACGGCATCGCGGCAGTGACCGAAAGATGACCCAGCGAGACCCGAGCGGTCTCCCACCGGCCATCAGCTAATTTTAAGGAAACTGCCCAGCAGCCGGCCGGTGATCGGCTTGGCGCTAAAATACGCTCGGTGCCCGGCGTTCGCCGCCCGAACACCGACCTAATCGAGCGTTCGCCGTCGAGCGATTTAGGTCAAATATCAAAACCGCTAGGTCAAAGGTTGCTGACCGATTTTAAACTCGCCGCCAAGTGACCGACTGATCTTCCAGCGGGAACCGGGCGGCGACCGGGCGGCGAACGCTCAGCAGCCTTTGACCTAGCGGCTTCAATTTTTGCCCTAAATCGCTCGAACGCGATCGCATAATTAGGATTATGCCCGGACGGCGAACGCCCGGGCACCGAGCGTAATTTGGGCGGTGAGTGAAAGTGAGCAGGCGCCCGGCCCCCCACTCAGTGTTATTTAGGGTACGCATATGCTCGTTCCTTCTTTTTGAAAGCACCCCCTATCTGAGGACTGCCAACATTTCCGAACCCCCCTTTCGCGGGCTTTTCCTGCCTTGGAGACCCCCCTAAATCACGAAAAATGCCTAATGTACCCCCCCCCCCCTTAATTCGAAATAATTTCTCAGGAGTCCAAAGACATTAGAGAAAAAAAGAAAAACACCCCCTTTTTAAGAAATCTCCGGGTGAAAAGTCAAATACACCCTTTTTTTTTTTTACAATTCTCGGGCCGGACTTTGTCGCACGAAAAGTACCCCTTTACCGGACATTTTGGCAACACGCATGCGGTCATTCCGACCCCTGGGTGGAGGGGGGGGGGCCGGGAGCAGGCGCCGCCCGAATTTTAACTCCGCGCTTAAACTTCTGCAGCGACCGAGCGATGCCCTAAAAACAAGCGGTGCCCGGGCGGCCGCCGCTCGCTGCCTGGTCGAAATTTGCTCTAAACTCGCCGCCCGGCCGCCGAGCAGGCTTCTTTTAGGTGATGTGACCATAGCTTTAGTCCACAATACCATTATAAAGATCCATTCGATTAACCATACACTCACGTAGTTCACAGTTGGTTCCTCCATACCCCTCTGTGCAATTACACGTAAATTCATTAACGCCATCTTGACAAGTGCCATTATTCAGACAGTCCACTCCGATACATTCATCGATATCTGCACCACAGAAACCACCGGTGTAACCTGGAGCGCAGACACACTCCAGAACGCCAATGTTATTTTCACCCAGGCATGTTGCACCATTGAGACAGGGGTTAGAGTTACAGAACTCGATCTCGAAATCACAGTTGGCACCGCTATACTCTCTTGGACAATCACATCGATAAAGGTTGAGTTTATTCTCGCACGTGCCTCCGTGTTCACAGGGGTCTGAAGAACACTCGTCTATGTCGTCGCAGTTCTTACCTGCAAAATTAATTTTGAAAGCCTTTTGAGTACGTTAAAATATCGTACCTGATATTATTTTCTAGTTTTGTTTTGTTTTTCTTCTCCTTCTTCATATTTTTTGAAATATCGAGATATGTATTGTGAAATTAAAAAGCACGTAGGTGCTAACTAAAAGTGTATAAATTATCATCTGTAGATGTATATGTTGTTACCTCGTGTACCAGATGGGCAGTTACAGCTATAATCAGCCAAGAGATCTGTACAGACTGCGTTGAACTGACAAGGATCTGAATCACATTCATTGATCTCCTGTTAATGAAATAAAGAAGACGATTGATTTAATTGGTTACCATTACTTGGTAACAATTATAATATAAATTCAGTAAATACTCACAGCCGACGAAAGAGGGGGGGGGGGGGCTATAAGACGATCTTTAGCACCCCCACCACATTTTGAACATATGTAAAGGTCAAGGTAAACAAGCGAAAGATTAACTGCTAAAAAAATACAATAATATTCTACATTAAATACTTTCTGCCCACCACTGACCACTGTCTCGAGAAACATGATCAACGTACACATTTTGAGCGGAGATTCTCTAGCGGAATAAGGGAAATGTTTGAATATTAGGCCAGACTACTAAATGTTCTTACAAAAATGATCCAAAGCACCTTTACTAAGGCGCCGTCATGCTTCGTGATTTGAATTCCAAGTACGATTAGGGAGGCCCTGGTACGACACTGAGCTAGCTCGGAAAAGCACTCGAAGAACAACCTTTGACGTATATAGGGCCTATTATGTAAAATATATCGGATCTATTTACTATTATTATCTGTATGTTTTTTGTCTTTAATACCTTATTCTTTAAGTCACTGTCAATCTTCGTCATTAAATCTGTTCTTACGGGGATTGGCTCTTTATTTTTGATCGAAATTGAAACTGAAATTGAACAGAAGTGGTGGTGGTGGTGTTTATTTTCATCCATGGTAAAAGTTGAAAAAACACATCAGGTCGCCATTGCGAAGAGTGCGTACACACTACATACATGTAGCTAGACAGATCGTTAGCTCTACACACGTACACCATCAACCATTAAAATCCTTATCCAAATTAATATGTTCAAATCATGGCTTACAATATTGCAATAGGATCCTTGCCATCCTGAGTGACAAACCCTAGCTCCTGTAATACCATCACAATTATAGTGGCCTTCACTGTTGTCTCTCGCTAAGCAATATGTGCTACAGCCTGAAGACGTTCCGTAGTAATGCAGATCGCAGTAAATCTTCAGTGCAACCCTCGTTCTAACAAACATAATAACAAGAACACATATTAATAATGCTGTTACTTTTGTGAATATCAGTTCTTAAGAAGTATGATTTGTTCTTTATATCTAGAGATAGCACATAATTAAACTGATTACAAATACCGTAAACACAATCATAAATCAAATCGTGTATTACGTGAAGCTGGATTTTGATTATCCTTTTAACCAAACAAACCTTTTCAAAAACGAGAATTTCATTACAAATGTACATAGATGCAAAGCTGATGTGTTACTACTCATTAGTCTTGTTTGGATGTTTCTAGTACACAAGTTTGATCATGGGCAGATAAATGGCACTTCGTCTGTAGACTTCTCTTTTGATTGTACATGCAATGTCAATGTGATCTTCAAAATATACACTGTACCATTAATACCATTAGAGTTTTGATTCGCATCCTCTTCGTAGCAAAAACAATAGCACATCAGCATTTTCATCAGATTTCAAAAACGCAGTGTACATTGCAGTTGAGAACTAAAATACAATTAAAGAGCTCCGAATCCAAGTTGAAATCCTACCTTTTTTACAGCACTGCTCGGCATTAGAATATGGGATTCAAATGGACTCTTATCGACCTTTGTTCCCTTTTGCGCCTTAGAATAGAAGTTCTAGAAAGATGGCGCTATAAGAATGCCTAGTAGATGAACCCACAACTAATATCAAAGACGAATACAGTTAGTACAAGTTTAATCAACTTACAGAGATGTTCCTGCTCCATGCAGTGACACGATGTGTTCTGTTGCCAAAGCTGATGTTCGATTGGGGATATAGTTGTAATTGTAGCCGTAATAATCTATTTTGTCGTCTGCATTAAATGAATCGTGATCCCAAACCTCAATCTTGGACCTGATTCCAGTCTACGGAAGATACAAAATTAACAGATTAAAGATGTACAACAACCGTGTATAAGCAGACAAGGCTGATGCCACACCCACCCCGAAAATGTTCAATAAAGCAATACCCGGGCAACCGGCACCTCACGACTATTAGGGTAACAAGATTGGCTGAATGTGTATTTTTATTTCAAGTTTATTGCATGTGATGGCTAAGTCTTTCTTACCATGATTAAGTTTTCTATCCACCCCTTCGTATTCTCGCGAGATTTTGAAACTGGAAAGTTTATATCCGGGCTACCCCCGCCCCCTCCCCCGAGGCGAAAATGACACAAGAGCTCATGCTGTGCACATGGTACATGTACAATAATTATGTGGATTATCATAAATGCACATGGAAACATTCGTTTCGAGCTAAGTCTTATTTAGAAGACTTTACAAAAGAGCGATGTAAAAAAATGGTAGGATAAGAGAGAGAGAGAATTAAAAAAAAATACAGGTAACGTATTTAAATGGTTTATTAATTAAAAGCACTTAATAACTTGAAATGCAAAAGTGGAGGATTCGATCTCTCGACACGGCACTAATATCCTTTGGCAAGGCATTAATCTACATTTGCCTGTCCGTACCCAGAAGAGAAAGGGGAACCTGGTAAGATGGCATATGGCCTCTCGGTGATCAAATGGTAAGAAAAACTTCCCAGGGAGTGGAGATTGTGCGCAATTCCAGATTATTATTATTATTATTATTATTATTATTTATAATCAGTTTAATTTTTTGTTTAAAGACGTACTCACCGACCATGAATTGATAGTCAATACAATTGGGTTGACTAGATCGTCGGCTAGAGTTGACGGGAAGCTGAAATCATCATTGTTGTCATAGAGGCGGTCCGTTTGAAAGTTGCCATAAGCACAATCGGTCATATCGTTATTCCTGAGCAAAGGCAGATATTAAACGGGACGAAGGCTAAATATGTGAAGAATATGCAGTGGCATTGTAAAACTTGATCAATACAATTCCAGTGATAAAAGCAACGGCATTTTAGACTGCAATACAGAGTTGTCGATGACCGTGATGAAGTGATTAAATGTGCATACATATTAATCTGTAGGAGCTCAATGATATGCTGTGATACATTATTCAACATGAAATGAAAAAGACTTTGGGCTAAAGCAAATTATTTTGTTGATTCTTTAATCAAACTGTCTCAAATAGGTCTTCTATTCAAACTTCAATCGCTCATCATCATCGCTATCACCATCGTTATCATATAACCATCGACAAAAGTTATCAGTTTAAAACAAGGTTTCTTCACTGCTTCGAATGAAATTCGGAAATGTTCTCGTTTATGTTGATTCACTTGGAAATATCTTCTTTTTGATACTCTGTATACAGATAAAATTTTCTTTCGATTCAAAAGGGTGGTTGGATGAAATCGGGAAATGTGATGACTATAGCTGCAAGACAGAAATAAAAGTCATTAGGTATCTTCTTACCCACTGTAGGCATCGAAGCAGAGATTGAATCTGTTGTCGCAACTACCACATAGGAAGTCGCAACAGTCCCCGTCAAGTTTTTTGTGACCGGTGTTTTCAAAGTCTGATAGTTCGAATGAAACTTTCACCCTCCCCTGGATCTGTGATGTGGGAGAAAATATGAAGACACAATCTTACGCGTGAAAAAACTTTGGTTGTAAACCCAAGAAAAAGAATCATTACACAATTCCAAACTGTTATAAACATTACATGTTCAACTCTCGAGCTTCATCATGAAGACGGTTGTTGCGTTTTTTTCTGTTTTTTTTTTTTTTTTTTTTTTTTTTGGGGGGGGGGGGGGGGGTGGGGGGACAAAATTGTTTACTTTTACATTTTAGAGTTATTATTTATAGGTGCGTACGAGGCGAAGGAGAGGGCTGAAGAGTTGGCAGACCCTCCCCCTTCATATAATCTGGTAAATAATTAAAAATATTAATATTCGAGAAATCGTTGTGGGGCGATATTCACCTTATTTCCTTTTTTGCTCCTCGCACGCAAATTCTCAAAAGAAGTGAATATCCTGGCAAAAGATGTCAGCACCGTTAACAAAATTGTGCCTGTATGGCTTTGCAGAATCGACAACCTCTGAATGTCTAAATATTTGATCGTTCAAGTAAAATGTTTCCAAATTAGGAATTACGTGTATAAAGCAGTTGGAGAAAATGAGGCCACGCGTGCCATGAACAACTATGAATTATTTATCATCGTCTGTTCACAACTGGTGATTCATTATCGACTGGAACATTTAGTAGAAACTTTGGAAGCAGGGATCGGAACACTTGATTCTTGCATGACCCTAAATCCGGTTATCAAAGTTTCTTTTATTGAACTTGTACAAACAACTTTGTGCCAGTAGTTCTAGTACCACATTAGTCAATTTGGTTTGTTGTTCCTTTATTTCTTCCCGTTTCTTTCGAGTCTGTTTAATAATCTGTTTCTGTTTGTTTAAGGCGCCTTGGATTAATTCTCATGTGCGAGAAGTTGCAGCCTTTTAACCTGAGAGCGCATGCATGAAAACTGTATTGAGTTAACCCGGATGCGCGATTTGCCCACGAAAAGCCGCATGTGTGTGTCCGAAGACCGTGACGTCTTTTTCAAGCCAGAAAACCCGCAATTAATTTTCAACCCATTGAAAGATTCGTCATACTTGTTTAGCTCCCCCTGCGGCTAAATTAAGTTATTTTATCTTAGCTTGAGTTCGGGTCTAATTAGCACTGTACTCTGTGGCCCGAATTCACAAAGCAAAGTTTGAGCTCAAACTTCCTTTTGTTTCGCCAAACCTCCTTTTGTTCTTTACAAACCAGGTTTGTAAAAAACGCGTAAAACGCGTCATATGACGAACGAAAACCAAGTTTTGTCGACAAACCTCCTTTGTGAATTCAGGCCTGTATGTTTGGAATGGATCATTATGCACAATCAAAACCCCGTTTAAAAGGGTTGTTTACCAATAATAAGACCTCTTTAAAAAATTCAACAAGCTGTTGTGTTGTAAAGAACTGTTAGCATTTTAAACAACGTTTTATCTGTGTATATATAACCGAATGAATATTTTAAAAGTAGATTTTTTTCGGGGAGGTAACTTGGAGGTGTCAATCTAGACACACGGGTTATGGGAGCCCCATTCAAATTTAATTCTCCAGTAATTCATGGAAATAAAGACTAGTGTTTTTTTTTCTCTCTCGCCGGTAAAAACAATTGCGTGCTGGCCATAAAGCCAATGTGTTGATTCATGAATTCCTGTTTGGAGACTATGCTATTCCATTGTCATTTAACTCATAGAGGCAAAACACATTTTACGGAAGTTTCTTAAATATTTTTTTTTCTTTGAACTTGGTATAAAGCCCTCTCCAAAGAAAATATTTTCTCTTGCTCCTGTTCATCTCTTTTCCTCCCTCTCTTCTCTTTCTCTCTCTTTTCTCCCGCTCTTTTGTTTCTTCACTGGCCACCCATTATGGGTGCAGTCTGCCTCCCTATCCGTATTCTGCCCCGTGCCCCCCCCCCCCCTCCCCCCGTACGCTAGTGTTTCTCCGGCTTATTATTATCATTATAATCATCATTATCATATTATTATTATCATTATTTAGATGGGGAGGGTGATGAATAAGGAAAGGAAAGCAATGAATTATAAAAATTCGTTTATAATAGTTTAGAAATTTGGGTTGATTTTACTCTTCCATTCAATAAATCTCATTAAAATGTGAAAACTGCACTCATTATTTTTTCTTCCTCCCTCCCCCAAGTATACTAATGTGTATCCGTTTTTTTGTTTGTTTTGTTAGGTGGGGGTAATGGAAGGAAGGTAACAAATCATTGATTGACATTCGATTAGAAATTTGCGTTAATTTTGCTCACATCACAAACGAAATGTTATTAAGATAAATCAATACTCTTGCACAAGATTCAAGATTACAATTCAAGATACTTTATTTCTCCAATCGTGCAAAATATAAACTAACGTTATCAATTGCTCCTGTTTGTTGTACTTTCATATTACTCATTATCAGCGCCCAAAATACTCGGGGGCGATGAGCAATTCGCCCCCGTGAGCTCCATAATCGCCCCCGTCAGGTTGCCCACGGGGGCGATTGCAAAATTAAAAGTCGCCCCCGTGGAATTATAAAATAAAGATTATCTTTTCTTATATAACTTTAACATAAAATGAGTTTCAATTTTCAAACCTTAAACCAATGAAATGGAACTTAGATGGCGCTTTCTCTCCCATCTCTATGTATTACTGATACAAACAACGGAAGCTCGCAGTGCAGCTAATGCGGCCGTCAGCAGTCGCTATACTGCGCCGGTAGTACCGATGTGCACGCTGACGCCCAATATCTGCTGGAGCTGGAGACGATCGCGCAAGGACTGAAACATGGAGAAGTTTTTCGTTGTGAAAAAAATCCTCTGAAATATGGTTGTTCTAAAAGAACAACAAATAATGTAACTCGACCGATAAATAAATATTGAGAAGAAGATCAGCAAAGATGTTGCAGGGACGTTTCGTTGTACCGTTCTCGAAAAATAATCCTCGTCTGAATTCATTTACCCCCCCCCCCCCCCCCCGTCCGCGCGAAGCGCGGAAGCTTTGACGTTTCATTAAATCAGTAGAGAAAGAAGACGAAAATATGAAAATAATATTTTGCCTTGATTAAGAAAAATTGAAAATTGTATCAGTGTTAAAAAGGGAGAAGGAAAGGGGAGGAAATTAATCAAAACAAACATTGAAGAATCCAATGCAGTGTTCTTTCGTGTTGCATACGAATGAAAGTACATACAAAGGTGAAATAATAAAGTGAAGAGCGATGATTAATCAATTCTTTGACGTTGATTGATTGAATAAAAAATAATGAAACAATATGATCTGAAGGTCATATATCTTCGAATATTAGAAAGTTTCATCCACCATCGTGTTGTTGAACACTATTTGCAATTTAATTTTAATGCGGTGACTTGTCGGTTACGAGCAGAAGGTCATTTCAGGCTTCTATATTCTATAATACTATCAACAGATATCTGGATATAGACACTTCAAGCTACGAGTCAGCAAGTATATCATCATCCCACAGAATTCTACTCGAACACCGCATCAGAATTCTTTTCACCCTTTTTTTCTTCTTCCTCTTTTTTTGGTCCCTTTTAGCTCTTGTTGGCGGGAAAATTGCAACTGATATCCCCCTTCTTTTCTTTACTTCTTATTTAATTTTCCTTCCCTTTATCTCCTCTTCAGTGACTGGTCCCTCAGAAACTAGTGCTAAGCCAGTCACAGAGAATTCATGATTTCAACTGATGCCTGTTAGTGCATTGTACATTTGATTTTTCTTCACATTTCATTTAAAAATCTTTTCATATTTGATAAATATGGTGCATTGGCATATGGGCTATGGTTGGAGCGTTGGATGCGTTGAACAGCGTTGGTGTATTATGTGGATTTATCATATTCATATTCTGAATATTTTCCGCGAATTGAATAATATTGAAAAGGATGCAATTCATGGTTGTACTCGATGATTTTCACTTAACATATTCTCTCTCTCTCTCTCCCTGTCTTGCATAAAGAAAATATGAAAATAATTTTTTGCCTTGATTAAGAAAATTGAAAATTGTATCAGTGTTAAATAGGAAGAAGGAAAAGGGAGGAAATTAATCAAAACAAACATTGAAGAATCCAATTCAGTGTTCTTTCGTGATGCATACGAATGAAAGTACATACAAAGGTGAAATAATAAAGTGAAGAGCGATGATAAATCAATTCTTTGACGTTGATTGATTGAATAAAAAATAATGAAACAATATGGTCTGAAGGTCATATATCTTCGAATATGAGAAAGTTTCATCCACCATCGTGTTGTTGAACACTATTTGCAATTTAATTTTAATGCGGTGACTTGTCGGTTACGAGCAGAAGGTCATGCAAGCACCTACCTCATAATCCGCCCTTCTATTGTTCGAGTTTATAACCATGACAACGAACTCTACCTGTGGTCACGTTCATTGTTCCCCTTACGTAACATAGATGTAGATAGGCCTCAGAAATAACTCAATACGTATAATCATTCTATATACCGGTAGATCTAAAATGCTTTCAAATATTTTGTGTCATTTTTGTTTGTATATACTTTGTCAATATACTTACACACTATTATTGTCAAAATTTGCTAATACTTCCAAACTATTACGTTTTCCCTATCATCTTCTGCTCTAGAATCCTATTATTTATTTATTTTTATTTGTCGGGTCCTTTTCATATTTTTCTTGTCTCTCTCTCTTCAAGATTTCTTCCGTTTTTGTAGGGGTATTTATGCTGTTAATTTTTGTATAAATAAACGAGAAATCGTTATTCTTTCTCTTATAATGTTGTCCACCTTCTTCTATAGATAACCCTTTTGTGCTAAAGTATAATGTCCGATGTATATAACTTCTGTCAATAACATACAATGAACGTATAATTTTATTTTGATGCAACAGTATACAAATAACGCACGTCCCAGAGTGCAATAGCGGTGAATGCAGTACGCGCGAGGTTTCTTTAGATTGGTGCCGCTCTGTGCAACGAGCCGCTTGCGGCGAGTTGACAGTGCGAACCATCTGAAGAAACCGAGCGTAC